AGCTCCTTTTAATAATGGCAACAGCTAATATAGAAGAAGTATCATGTAATGTACAAGGATTATTGTATGTGAAGTATCTCACTAGTGTGTTGATGTCTGATCTTGAAAATACAAAACTAGCAAAGTTTAGATTATTGTGCAGCAGCTGGTAGAAGAAGAGAGTCGTCTGCTCTGTGTTTAGTTGCCTAAAAATGAAAAAAGAGTTAAATGTAAAAGTGTTCTTATAGTGCCAATTTTCAGCCCTTATAAACAAGTACAATGTACATGTACATGTACTTCTTATTATTAATTACTTGCAGATTGCTTCATGTAGTTGATTGAAATTGAGTTGAAAGGAGGCTTTGTCTTTACTTTCATTTTCATCACAGATCAAAGAGAGAGCTTCTCTGTAAGGATTGTGACCACGAGAGTGCTGATGGACAAGGATCAGGAGGAAGAGAAGAGAAGAGAGGGCAAGTGGTGAAGTGTTCTCAAGGATATCATGCTGAGGTAGGACAAGAGAGAGAAGTCCAGCTGGAGAGAGAGAGGGGGGGGGAGAGAAAGAAGACGTTTAGTCTCAATTGTGTCTATTGTACATGTACATGAATATTTATTTCTTTAAGCTCAGAGTGTAATCTACATGTACATGTATATCTCTTGCTAAAATTCAAAGTTTAAGTTGCATGTAAAGGATCTGTAATGTTGAGCATGCCTCTTTTACACCACTAGTTTTTTACAACTGCAGGAGGAATGGGTCCATCAGCCTCTACTTTCTATAAACATCTTTCATCCAGACTCTCTATCCGTTACTCCAAGTCCTACTCTACCGTACTTAACTGGATTCGTTGCCGTATTTCATTCTCTCTTCTTAGGAGCTCTATTATGTGTCTCAGAGGTGCACGCTCCTCTTACCATCATCCCTGTCGCTCCTTCCGTTCTCATGAGCAAGCTCTCTCAGATGGGAGGGTTTACTAAACTACATACATTGTACATACTACATGTATATACTATATCTTCTGTATAATATTTAAACTTTTATCTCAGACACACATAAGTACATGTATATTCTGTATTTTATTATATGATGATAGCTATTAAAAGTAAAAAAAAAAAAAAAAAAAAAAAAAAAAATGTGCATAATACATCTTAATTATAAAGTAGAGTATGTGAGTCTGTTATACTTACAAGCAAAAGAAGAGAACACTCCTGATGGCTGTACCCTCAGTGTATCAGGAGGGGGTATTGGTTGACTGATAAAGAAACTCACTAGTGACTGGACTAGTGATGAAGAAACATCTCTAATTAAAGAGCAGATAGAAAATAATTAATACAAACCCTCCCTCTCTCTCTTTCTCACAGTGGTATATCCATCAGTTCATTAATGATGACGCTAGTACTGAAGAGATCGTCTTTATTGAGTAATTGTCCTGACATTAGTACGATTGATAGATTAGCTGCCTCAGTCAATACATCATACGTAAATGGACTAAAGAATAAAAGATGAATTAATAAAACAAAGTAAACATTATTAAACATAAATGTGATTAATTAGTAAAAATTGTACTGCAGTCGCTGCTGCTTTATATAGGGATTAGTTAACCCTAATTCATAATTCTGAGATTTCCAATATCCCAGAATTTACTCTGGATAGAGCAAGCGCACTATCCATTGACCAATATATGGTGCAACATTCACTATTAATGAGATCAGTAGAATCTCAAAGAATGGATAGCTACTATTGAATGCCTTTACCATTACATGTATAGTTGTTAGTGTAATGGCAATGATGAATTTTGTAGTGGCACTAATGTAACCATAATGCTGTAGGACACTGACTAAATACTGTACAGTTAAGATGAACATAGCTGCAGACATATTGTCAACTACAGTTAACACTAGTTCATTATTATCTAAGCTTTTAAACTTGTGCTAAAAAAAGGAAAAGGCAATTGTGGGTCACCAGAAATGTTGTTCGTAATGTTTATTGTTATGAACTTTATGAACTTTCATTTTACCCAGACCGACACTGCACAATATAACCATATCTAAATATCATTAAAAGTATATAAATGTACATAAATAATTAGGTACATTAGGGACCACAGTACTGTACATCTAGCAACTACTAAACTAATTATCAACTAACAATACTCCATACTTACACCAGTGGTACTCCACCTATTAACATTACAGTTCCGTGAAGCAATATCTTCAGACCACTCCTAATAGCCACACCCTCTTTATCATCAGCCTCAGTTGAATTAGAACCTTTTAAGGACTGAGGAGGAGGAGGAGGGTCAAACATATTAAGAAGGGCCTCCTCAGAGTGTGACTGTAACACATGGTGGGATATGCAGCGTAAGATGAACAGAGAATTACGTAATTGAAGAGTAGCCATATTACTATGAGGAGGGAGGAAGAGAGAGAGTACTCATGATATATGTACATGTGATTAAGTAAATTAAAAAAAACTTAAACTATTAGTCAAAAAAGAATTTTCAATAATCATCAATATTTGCATAAATAAAGAGAAGTATGTCAAAACTTTAAAAATAAACATAGAAACAAGAACAAAAACACACGCACATGTACAATGTATATGTACATGCATACCTACAAGTATATAGTAAATTCACATAATGTACAATCAATTAACGAGCTTGTTGTACTCATCCTGTTTCCTCCTGTTGATACATTCCTTACCT